TTCACGACGTGGATTCTCAAAAATCAGCCCTATAAATAGAAGTGGAAGCCTTCCGGATTTGGTTGCCAATTTCTTTCCTCTCACTCCATATTACATCGATTACGTGCAAAGAAGTACCCCCGAAGCCCCGGTATCATCCCGAGACCCTAAGCGAGTCCCAAAGCTCCGAAGATCCCGAGAAGAAAAGAGTTTCTGAGCCGAAGCTCTGCCCGGGAGAGGCCCGGTGTGTGAAAATCTTCCAGTTTCACCGAAGAATACTACATTTAGAGCCGTAGTGCTGTCCGATCATCTTCTAATCAAGTGAATGTATAGTCCCTTTCATAAACACGATTTTAATACGAAGTATTTGCTATGAAATACGTGTTATGTGTTTATATATTGTTTGTTTATTTAAGGTGGGCGTGAAATGAATGTTTTATATAGGTTCTAAATGAGTTAACTTGTATATGTATTTTAGATCTACAAATATGTTGGGTAAAACATGGGTAGATGGAATAGTTGGTGTGTAATGAAAGATGGTATAAGTGAACCTTGGTGACTATGGAGTTAGCGCCTGTTAAGTGAACCTTGGTGACTATGGAGTTAGCGCCTGTTAAGTGAACCTTGGTGACTATGGAGTTAACGCCTGATAACTATGGATTCAGTACCTGAGAGATAAACGTTGGTAGCTATGGACTTAGTACCTGATAGATAAACTTTGGCAGCAATGGACTTTGTGCCAATTCCTTAGGTCAATCCTTAGGAATGAATGAATGAATGAAGGATAGTTGATTCTTAGAGTAAAACCTTAAGAAATAAAGAAGATAATGGGGATGGGTAATTGGGTTGATTGTTTGATGATTAAATATAATAATTATATTATTGTGGGTTGAAAACCCTATATGCCCACCAGGCTCCCAAGTCTGACCCACTCAGTTTTCTTTGTATCACAGGTATCGATACGAAGACATATTTCACTGAGAGATTAAAGGAGATGTAAATCATGAGTGTAAATAAATGTAAGTTCTGTTTATGCTTATGTGTCTGTATCGGAACATGACATCCCGATGTTTTATTATTAATGAAAGGTACATTCTCTCTGAGAAATGTTTTGATAAAGTTTTATCATATTTTGTTTGGGAACAAATTCTGCAACTGTTTTCTTTAAAAGATTACTCTGATTTTAAAACAAAGCATAAACAAACCGGTCTTTTCTGGCCGTGAATTTGGGGATGTCACAGTTGGTATCAGAGCATTAGTTTAAGCGAACTAGGAATTTGTAGGGAATTTTTAGACTTAAACTTAGAATGCTAAGTGATGATTGTGAGATGAGTGTCTACCATATTTTAGACACGAGCACTAGTATATTTTAGGAAAGATGCCTAAAATGATTTTATGTGCTAAATGTTATATGTTTTCCATATATGAAATTGTTTGTTCGGATCTATGGTCTGTTGCCGACCGGTTCTGGAAACCTTATGTGTTTAGGATTCTAAGCGTATGCCTACGGTATTTGAACTAGCATGTAAATGTTTCAGAGTGATAAGGAGATTTATACGTCTATCGTAAATAAAGCTTTCTTATCTTAAATTCTCGCCCGGTACACCGAACGTCTGCTTGGGTGTACAAAAGGTCATGGTGAAGACTCGTAGAGAATTGAGTAAATGGAGGAAATGAAAAGGCGTATGATAGCGAATGACACTTATCGGAAGATATCGTAAGAGTGGTATCTTGCCTTTAGAATATGTCTGATAAAATAGCGGAACGTTTAGAGGAGTATGGTATGTCTGAAGTACACCTTCGATTGGCAGGATGATGGAACGATTGGTGTAATTCTTGAAGTTGTCCCATCGTCTGGAATTTCCATCACCAACCGACTTGAAGTAGAATTGATGATTGAGGATACGCATGGAAGAAGTCCTAGTAGAGTCTAGGAAATTTTTTATGATTAATTGGACACATTCGTATGTGTTAAATTGTTTTGTGATTTTAGAGCTTGGGGACTGCGAGACAATACTTGGGACGAGTATGAGTAGGTGTGAATAGTAGTAGAGATCTATACTACTGGAAGCACATGACTCACGCTTGGATCAGGGAAGGTCACAAGGTTACCAAGAAGCTTGTAATTGAGTTCGTTTTTATTCATATATGTCGTTACCATTGTTTCGGTAATGACTAAAAAAAAAGATGATTGATATTCTGACCCTAGTGGTCATATCAAATTGAGTGAGACTACGATGAGTTTGTTATGTGGTTCAGAGACTTAAGTTAGAAGATTGAAATCAATGCGATCAATTGCATCGCTCTCGTTGTTAATGAAGCTTGTAGCCAGAAATGTTATATGATATAATGTGATTATATCACATTAGAATATGAAGGAAGGTATATTCCATTCTGGAATTTGACTCAAAGAGACTTGAGTCTAGGCGTTGCATCAGCCGATGAAAGGTCATTAGAACGTGACCCATTGATCTGTTACAATAGATAAGGGGAAGTACTTATCCTAAGAAGAAGGAGTCCTCAATAAGGATTTATTTTGTAACTTGTAGGTTACGATTGAAAGTCCAACATAGTACGAAGAACATGTGCAAGACTTAGCATCACGGTTATTACTTAGGATGGAAATATAACGTATGGAATCATTATACAAGCCTTATTTCGTCGATGATTCCGGGACGTAATCATCCTAAGGGGGAGATAATTGTAACGCCCGTAGATCCGGGCTAGTCAATTTAGAGACGATAAGCATCAAAAATGACTTTTTGATGGAAGATTATTTAGAAGGATTAATCTTAACTAAGTTGTAGTATATGTTACAAGGATTCCGTACATATAAAGAACGCCGAAATCCGAGTTATAACGAAGAAGTTATGACCTGTCGAAGTTTCGCGACAGAACCGGCACGACACATCGCGACGTAAATAGTGAATTTACGATAGATCGATAATTGAATTTAGCGATCTAAACGAAAGTCGTAGAATACGTTAAACCGAGAGCGTGCATGAAAAGAACGCCCAAATCTGACTTCGTATGAGGAAGTTATGATTTTTCGAAGTTTCGGCTTAGCAGTGTACAGCCCGAAGTTCGAATATGAGATCGAGCGATATTTAGCCGAAACAATCTAAACGAGAATTGAAGATCTCATCGATAGTGGTCCAACGGTGAAAAGACAGACGAAAACGGACGTCAGACGAAGGAGTTATGATTTTCTAACGGAGTTTTCTTGTCTTAGCCTACTAAAAATAATATAATAAAAATATAATAAAAATAAAGTCAAAATTAACCGACGAAGTCTAAACGAGAGTTGTAGAGCATAATCTCACCTACGCGTGGATATAAAGAACGTCGAAAACGGAGCTCATATGCGAAAGTTATGAATTTCTGAAGTTCGGGGCGCGAACCCCAAAGCTGTGTCCGGGTTCACAACGTGGACTCAGTGATGTGACCTTTCAGAGCCTGTCAGACGCAACCTGTGATGACGCATGCAGTGACGATCAAGCCCACGACATGGGAGTACTGTTCACGACGTGGATTCTGAAAAATCAGCCCTATAAATAGAAGTGGAAGCCTTCCGGATTTGGTTGCCAATTTCTTTCCTCTCACTCCATATTACATCGATTTACATGCAAAGAAGTACCCCCGAAGCCCCGGTATCATCCCGAGACCCTAAGCGAGTCCCGAAGCTCCGAAGATCCCGAGAAGAAAAGAGTTTCTGAGCCGAAGCTCTGCCCGGGAGAGGCCCGGTGTGTGAAAATCTTCCAGTTTCACCGAAGAATACTACATTTAGAGCCGTAGTGCTGTCCGATCATCTTCTAATCAAGTGAATGTATAGTCCCTTTCATAAACACGATTTTAATACGAAGTATTTGCTATGAAATACGTGTTATGTGTTTATATATTGTTTGTTTATTTAAGGTGGGCGTGAAATGAATGTTTTATATAGGTTCTAAATGAGTTAACTTGTATATGTATTTTAGATCTACAAATATGTTGGGTAAAACATGGGTAGATGGAATAGTTGGTGTGTAATGAAAGATGGTATAAGTGAACCTTGGTGACTATGGAGTTAGCGCCTGTTAAGTGAACCTTGGTGACTATGGAGTTAGCGCCTGTTAAGTGAACCTTGGTGACTATGGAGTTAACGCCTGATAGCTATGGATTCAGTACCTGAGAGATAAACGTTGGTAGCTATGGACTTAGTACCTGATAGATAAACTTTGGCAGCAATGGACTTTGTGCCAATTCCTTAGGTCAATCCTTAGGAATGAATGAATGAATGAAGGATAGTTGATTCTTAGAGTAAAACCTTAAGAAATAAAGAAGATAATGGGGATGGGTAATTGGGTTGATTGTTTGATGATTAAATATAATAATTATATTATTGTGGGTTGAAAACCCTATATGCCCACCAGGCTCCCAAGTCTGACCCACTCAGTTTTCTTTGTATCACAGGTATCGATACGAAGACATATTTCACTGAGAGATTAAAGGAGATGCAAATCATTAGTGTAAATAAATGTAAGTTCTGTTTATGCTTATGTGTCTGTATCGGAACATGACATCCCGAGATTTTGTTATATAATGAAAATACATTTCTTTAAGAATGCTTTGATAAATTCTTATCATATTTTGTTTTGGGAACAAATTCCGCAACACTTTTCTTTAAAAGGATACTCTGATTTTTAAAATAAAGCATAAACAAAATCGGTCTTTTCTGGCCGTGAAATTGGGGATGTCACACGGTCAACCACACACGCTCCACTAACGACTTGGTAAGGTACAAAGTGTAATTTCATGGGTTAGCACCAAATTCACATTTTCCTAAGTAACTAAGATTGAGAATTTATAAGGTTTAGTTACTTTATATTTATCAATATAGTATTAATGAAAGGAGAACTAATGTCCTGTCCTACCCGTTCGGCTAACGACCAGTCAAGGAAGCGGTGGGTGAGAGTGGACACCCATTAAACTGCCATTTTATAGGCAGTAACCTTATACCCCCTTATAGACCGGCTTCGTGAATGAGGCCTACTAACGGTAAGACTGACTTAGTCTTATACATATATATAAATATTAAACCTATAATATTATAATAGTATAAGGGTTGAATTTTAAACTATTAAAATTCTAAGGGTCTAACTTGGAATTAAAGTATTCAGGGGGGGGGGGGGGAGGGGGGAACTTTACAAATTCAAAAACTTGAGGGCAAGTTTTGAACAATTCAAAAACTTTTGGTTTTGGGTTGCCCTCACCAGAGGAACTTGACTGGATGAATTATAGAGGAGGTTATTATGGTTTATTAATATATTATATGAATAATATATTAAAAGAGAAATCATATTGGTTAATTAATATTGGTCAAGAACTAATTAAGAAATTAATTTTGTGATCAAAAGATATTAATCAAGCCTAGGGGACTAATATTGTAATTATTGGATAGTTGAAAAGTAGGTTGAGGAAACCCTAAAGATAGGGTGGATGAAATCTTGTGGATAAGGCCTTAAGAATTCGTCCAAGGAAGGGATTCCAGAAGGATCTTATGGGCTGCTTAGAGCCTAAGCAACCAGATAAGTGTTTGACTGAATCCCTAATTCCACACCTATATAAAGGGAGCCTAAGCATCACATTTTCGGCTATCCCTAACCCTAGAAGGATTGCTAGAGCCGAAAAACACTTCCCTCCTCTCTCTCTCTTACATTCTTCCAATTTCCTTGGTGTTTGTGATCGATTAGAGGTATTACATTTGTAATACTAAGCTCTCCAAGTCAAGGATCTTCAAGCTTCAATTGAAAGGTAATCATCTAAACTTATATTAATTTCGATTTTTGAATGCTAGATCTAGGGTTTACAAGCTTTGGATGATTTGCATGTACAATTAGAGAAACCTAGATCCAAAGCTTTAGGGTTTGCATGTGCACCATAGGATTGATGTAATGCTCAAAACCCATCAAGTAAGTCACTAAGTTGGAATTTATATATATGATAAACATGATTAATCTACTATTTATTCATTTTAAATTGTTTAACTAACTTAAGTGTTTATCTATACAGCTTGGAAAGAATCCTTTGCAGCAATTGTTGATGGTGATGAAGTGAAAGCAGGAAAACCATCTCCTGAAATGTGAGATAAAAATGTTTTTTTTTCCGGATTAAAATGTAAATGAGATGGCTTTTACATAATTTTCATTTTCAGATTCTTGGAAGCAAGTAAGAGGCTAAACATTGACCCTTCTAAATGTCTTGTCATTGAAGATTCACTGTGAGTTTGCTTTTCTTTAAAGAACTTGACAAGCTCTTCTGGGCTATTTTCGATGAGGAGGGCATTTTTGTCTTTTACACAGACAAGAGACCGAGGGCAAAGTCCTTGTCCGGATATATTTCAAAAACACAATACAACCTGTTCTAATCTATTTTGTTTTGTTATGTTAATGTTATGTTATGTCATGTTATGTCATGTCAGACCAGGTATTGCAGCTGCCAAAGCTGCTAATATGGAGGTGGTGGTTGTACCATCACTTCCAAAGCAGTCATATCTTTACACTGATGCTGACGCGGTGATCACTTCACTTCTTGACCTACATCCTGAAAAGTGGGGCCTCACCCCATTTGAAGATTGTAAATTTCTCTCACTAATTTAATCTATATTCCATTAAAATTCATTTATATTTCACACATTTTCAATAATTTAATTTTTTTTCAAAATTTCAGGGATAGATGGTACTTTACCCTTAGAACCTTGGTATATTGGTGGTCCTGTCATCAAGGGTTATGGCCGTGGCTCGAAGGTGCTTGGAATACCAAGAGGTTTCCAATTTTACCCTTGCAATTTTCACATATTACTATGATTACACGTAGTTGTTTTTTAGGGTTAATCGATTATGATTATTGTTTTTCAGCTAACTTATCAGTAGAAGGGTACTGAAAATCCTGCGGGTGTATATTTTGGTTGGGCTAAATTATCAAACCGGGGTTTTTACAAGATGGTTATGAGCATTGGTTGGAACCCGTATTTCAACAACACCGAGAAGACAATTGTAAGGGCAATTTGGAAACTTTATAAAATGTAGTTAAATCTTGAAACAATCGGTTCCTAACCCCTTTTATTTGTAAATTTAGGAACCATGGTTGCTTCATAAGTTTGATAAAGATTTCTATGGTGAAGAATTACATCTTCTTGTTGTTGGCTATATCCGGCCCGTGGTACTCTCCGAACTAAATTCATCTTGTTACTCTGCTACTGTTACTGATACTGATGGAATGATGGCAGGCAAACTTCCCATCACTTGAAAGCTTAATTGCAAAGATACATGAAGATGGTAAAAGAGCTGAGAATGCGCTTGAACTTCCTTTATATGCCAAGTACAAAGACAAAATGTATTTCAAAAGCATTGCACATGGGCAAAATTCATTTGTGACCTCAATTTTTATGGTGTTTAAAAATTGGTTCATGATATTAATATACAAACATGTACTGATATTGGATTATCAGTTTCGAAAAATAAATGTAATTTGGACTTTTACAATGAGGTGGTGGCATGTATAGACATGGTGGTGTTCAACTGTTCATTAATCATGCCACTTGAAACTTGTTATCAGACTTCATAAATAAACTTACATATTTACTCATTCTCTATTCTAATTATTTGATATTATGACATATCACTATAAACATGCACCAATGGCCACAGATGAGGATGAAGAGACAAAGATTGCGTGAACATATGCAGGTGAGATTTGAGGAAGTTTCCACATGGTTATTATTATTATTATTTTTTTTTAAAAAAAATTGCTTGTAGACTTTAGGTGTGTTGGCAAAATTAGCTGGTAGTGGGTGACTTGTAGCGGGTAGCGGGTAGCTTGTAGCTTGTAGCGTTTTGTTAAACGCTACATGAAGTAGCATTTGGATTTGTAGTGTTTTGTTTAAACTAAACGCTAGAAGCTTGTAGTGTCGAACGAGGCTTTCTGTTCAAAACGGAGCGTTTTGTCAAACTCTAGAAGCTAGAAGCTCTCAAACGCTCCCAAACGCTCCGTGCCGAACACACCCTTTATTTAGAGGAGCCCACACGGAAGCTGTTGAGGATGCAATGCGAGTTCTTGATTTAGCAAAACTCGGGCCTAACCGATCTGAATGTAAACGTTTGCTCACTCTACACATGGAAAATGAGTGTATGGTATCTTTTCTTTTATGATGCTATTTAGTTTAATACAAATAAAGAATATCAACGTTAATGGACTTGGGCAAAGTGACACAATTAATTAAGTGAATATATTTAGAATATAATGGATTAATAGTAATGAAATTTATATTTATCTTTAATAATCATCTAACTTCTCAATTATTCCACTTTCAGGAATACGATAGTCGTGTTGAATAAAGGATTGATTGATGCTCAAAAGACAATTACATAAGAATATATAGAGAATACCTAAAGGTCAATGGCGAAACCTTAAAGGGCTTGAGCCTAAACCCTAATCACTAACATCCCCCCATATTTTGATCGGGTGGAGATGATTAAACTGGAAAAATAAACAAAAGAAGAAAACATAAAAACTAGATGAAGATAGCGGCATCGACAGTGGTAGAGCTCTAACAATGGCGGCTAACATCGACTAGTCATCGGAGAAGAAGTGAGAAGAAGAGGCAACCATAGTTGATTCCGTTGTAGAAAAAGAGAAAAAGGGCAGCAGCGGTGATGATCATGCAACCAGTGACAGAGGAGTCTGGAGAAAGGCAGCGAGAAAGAAAGAGGGCTCGAGCTGCGGCGGACGGAGCCAATTCCGATGAGATCAGCAACTGTAATGTTAATAGAGAAAGAAACGACTACATATCAGAGACTTCCCGACGGAGAAGGTGCCATTGGAAGGAGGCAACAACAACATCAGAAGGGGCTGAATCGGAAAAGAGATCTGAAGAAGTGGTCAGCCGAGGAAGAGGCAGAAAGCCCAGAGGCAGGGGTCATCTGAGGATGAGGTAGAAGTAGACGAGGCAGTGGAAGAAACCGATGAAAGAGCTCTAGTTTGGTGCCGGTGGCTATTTTATTATTTAGGCGGAAAAGAAAAGAAAATGAAAAATATGGAACATAATAAAGACACCTCCGACGACTATTAGAGAAGGTCGTCGGAGGTGGAAGGCGGTGACTGTGTGTTGTGGTCAGCAGCAGAGCTTTAACCTAGAGCTCTGATACTATGTTGAATAAAGGATTGATTGATTCTCAAAAGACAATTACATAAGAATATATAGAGAATACTTAAAGGTCAATTGCTAAACCCTAAAGGGCTTGGGCCTAAACCCTGATCACTAACAAGTCGTATGTCCAGCGATGCATACAATTTGGTTCAATATTTTACGATTTTGGTTCAATATTTCGTATGTTCTAATGCAGCGTGTGTTTAGTTCTAAAATCAATCATATGCTCTTTCTTGAAGAAGATATATGTCCTATTTATTTGTATACGTAAAAGGGACGTGCGATTTAAAATATGTTTGGCAGTTTTTTTTAGATATTATGGACCTAGAATTTTTTACTAAACCTTAAGAACAAATAATGTATGTAAGTAAAGATGGTTGCATAAACACAAGCTTTTTTTTTATCTAAATATACTGTAAATGAAAACTAAATGGTTGTTATATGTGATGTGTTAGTTATGTTTTACATTTATGTATAGTTGAGGGACTTATATTGGCAATTGCCCATTAGTTAGGGGTGTTTGGGATTGTTTTTTTTTTTTTATCTAAAAAGTCATTTTTGACAAAATGATTTTTTGATTTATAGAAAAAATGAGGTTTTAAAATGTATATGGATTAACTTTTGAGGAAGTAAACGCTAAAAAGCCAAAAGTCACCAAAAGTCACAAAATAATAACTTTTAAAACAATTTATTTTTCTTCTTGGCAAAAAATCATTCTAAAAGAACTTTTAGATTTGATAAACACCTTTTCAAATTTTTGACATCTTCAAAAAGGGTTTAGGTCATTTAACTTTTGGTTTTGTGTTCATTTGGTCACTTAACTCTTTTTAAGTTTTAAAAGGTCATCAAACTTTTGGCTTTGTGCTCATTTAGTCACTTAACTTTTGGTTTAGTCACATTTAGTCACCTAACTTTTAAAATTGTGCTCATTTAGTCACTAAACTTTTAAATTTTTTCAAAAGTTTAGTGACTAAATGATCACAATTTTAAAAGTTAGGTGACTAAATGAGCACAAATCTAAAAGTTAAGTGACAAAACCAAAAGTTAAGTGACTAAATGAGCACAAAGTCAAAAGTTTGATTACCTTTTAAAACTTAAAAATAGTTAAGTGACAAAATGAGCACAAAACCAAAAGTTAAATGACCAAAAATGACCTAAACCCTTTGAAAAAACCAAAAGTCCAAAAAGTCTTTTGAAAAATAATCTCAAACACCCTCTTAGTCTACTAGGATATATGTTTGTTCTCTCACTACTATAATATTTTCTTGTAGCTACGAAAAATACCAACAAAAATATTTTCTAAGTAATTTTCATCCAATTTCCAACAAACTGGCAACAAAAGAGGAATACAACAAAATTCCAACAATATAGCGATAGATATAGAAATAACAAAAAGTTTGTTGGAAAAACGTCGGAAATTTCCGACAGAAAACCAACGGAACATTAATTAATATTTAAAATTACCATTTTTTAGGAAATCTGTAGAAAATATAATTACCGGGAAATGAAAATCTTTCCCCTCTTTTCTTTTTGCCTTACCCCCATTTTCTTTTAAATATTGTTGTTATTATTGTTATTATTATTATTATTATTATTATTATTTTATATTATTATTATTATTATAAATATAACAATTATTATTTCATAATATAATTAATATAAATATAATATGATTTATTTTTTATTATTATTGATATAAATATAATAATAATTATTACTATTATTTTGATTATTATTCTTATTATTTTCTAATTATATTTATTAAAAATTAGATTTATTATTATTATATTTATTAAAAATTAGACCCGAAGTGTAGAAAAGAAAGTATAGAAATGAAAGATCATGAAGAGTGATGAGACTCTAATTATATAATCTATCAATGGATTAATTGCAGTTATAAAAATAGAAATGAAATGGTTTGTGTATCATAATGTGTTTTGGCATATGTAAACATACGAGATATCAACACGTGGACCATATGAATCATGTTTTGACAGGTGTTCATGCCAAGTTGATGATATATATTGGACCATATGAATCATGTTTTGGATGTTTTGGTAGGTGTGGTGTTCATGCCAAGTTGATGATATTAGACCATATGAATCATGTTTTGGATGTTTTGGTAGGTGTTCATGCCAAGTTGATACTATGTTATAAAATTGTATTGACTTGTTTTTATATATGTTGAATATTATTGTGGTTGAAAATGCATATCGTATAAATTTGTATTTGATTTTTTAGTTATTGTACAATATCTGCAAACAAATTCTGGAATATTTTTGCCGTTTCAAAAAAAAATTTGGAATATTTTTATTTACTTCATATTTTATAGATTTAAAAAAAACGCAATATTTCCAACACCATACCGACAGAAAAATGCATCAAATTAAACTCTTTTGAAAAACAAAACCGTTGGAAATTTGGTGGAATGGACTATAGAATTCTGTAGGAAAAAGGATCTGTAGGAAAACTGTAGGAAAAATTGTGTCAGGTAGCATTGTTGGAACTTTGTTCGAAATTTCCTACGAAATATTTTGTTGGAAATTTGTTAGAGATTTTGTTGGAATTTTGTAGGAACTACGTTTCCCACGACCATTTTTCCAACAAACCAGTTTCGTTGGAACTTTGTGGCTAATTGTTGTTTCCTACTAAATACCAACACAATACGGTGTAGGCAACCTTCCAATTTTCTAGAAATGTATTCTTTTTGCTATGTACACAAATCATACGCAAACTTGAATGGAAAGGCTTTTACCTCTTTGAACCATCCATCACTCTCAACATCTTCATCTTCATCATGTTAATTAATCAAACTAACATGGTATCACAGCATAAGGTAATAACATTTTATGCAACCTAACCTTTTGTACTGGTTTCATCTCGTCTAATGCTACTCTAGCCAAATCGATTTATGATTTCATCTCGTCTAATACGACTCTTACCAAACCGAGCTTTGATTTCATCTCAGGCTGGTATTTTATTAAAAGAAATTAATAATATAATAATGTAATATTATTAATATATAAATATTATATACTAAAAGTAATATTAATTAATATATAACAATCAAATAAAAAAATTAATCCAATAAAAATGAAAT